TATAAAGTTATGCCATTTTACAAACATATATAATGTTTGTAAAATGGTACAGCTTTTTAAATATCTGAAAGTACACTCTTAACATCAGTCAGTCAAGCATTATAATATGATAATCAAGTATTATTTAATGATAGAACTTTAGTAATTAGAATTAAAACTTGATAACCATGTATGAATGCATATTAGTCATTTTAACTGAACTTAGGACTGGTGGTGGTGCTTTTTTGGTCATTCAGTGTTTCGGTAAAAAAAAATTGGGAAAAAACTAACAAAAATACTAATACGATAATAATGATACGAATTCTACTAATAAAGCTGCATTCACACTTGCAGCGACTTTTGTCGCCAGGGGCTGGCGATGAGGTTGCTAGTGAGCGTTCTCAATACTGGTTGCCTTGACAGCGAATCAGGTTTCTTGCCGCGAAGTACAAACATTTTGGAGGCAAAAGACTAAATATAATCTAAATCTAAATTAAATCTGTGCATACAAATAAAAAAAGAATGAGAAACAGAGCCTACTTTCTTCCTTTGCGTATGTTTTTCTACGGTTGAGAGGAGAACGATCACATGAGCTCTACCGTCGTCTTTCCTATTGGCTGTCGCTCCCGAAAGTCGCTCTTTATTTGCATAAAGTTGAAGGATTCTGAACTTTGTCCATCGCTGGACACGCCCCAAATTGTCGCTGTCGCTCGTGTCGCCGGAAATCGGCAGCTCTCCATTGAAATGAATGGGATTGTGTCGCTTTGTTGTTGTGTGTCGCTTAAGCCCCGTTTACACTGCCAGCGACTTTTTCGCTGTGTGTAGCTTCTGTGCTGTGAAGACGCTTGTGGGCGTTCCTACTGCTGTCGCTCTAATGTTATTGGTAGACTGCACGTCTGGACATATAAAATGCAATCACAAACTATATATTGCCGGTAAAACTAAGATATCATTCTATTATGACTAGGAATAAAACTTAAAAGAAATAAAAGTACCATTCTGCTGTTGGAGAGTGTTGTTATATAAACTACAGCAGTGCTCGTGCATTAAATCATTAACCGGTGCTAAACTGCTCACTGCATCATGTAATTAACAACTCGAACCATAAATATATGAATCAAACTAACTTAGACAGCCAACAGTTTCTTTTCTACGCATCATTTTTTTATCCATGTATGTGGTTACAGTAAAATCATATAAAACCGTGAAAACGCTCAGGAAATTTAGTCACCCAGAGTGAAGATTTAGTCGCACATGCGAGTGATTTACTCGCAATGTAGAGGGTTGCTGTGTCATTTTCTGATCTCTTTTCTCCCTGTTTTAATTCAGGGGAATGGTAGATTCAGTTAGGCATCTAAAGTATTTGAAGTTGAAAAGCCACATTAAGTGTTACATTTGTACAGTATGATTTGAGTAATTATATCACTTGAAGTGACACTTGGTGACAAGATAATTCTACTCTCGGGATGCAGTCTTGTTTTGTTCCATGGCTCTGGAAGGTTGTTTACCATCAAACCTTGAACAATTCTGTTGATTTAAGATACTTGTGTGGCACTGACGGTGACATAGCTTATCCAAGCAAAAGCTAGACCATCATGCTGACCTTTCAAAGATATTCACATATGCTTACTGAATAAGCAGTCCCGTACAGAATGGCTCTACATTCCTCCTACCCAGTGACCTTGATATTGTAATATTTCATCATAAACCAGTTTGTCACACCATCAAAGCTGTCTTATTTCACCTCCGTCAGCGCAAGGTGAGATTAGGCTTCGCTGTCGTCCCGCTAAGTAAACACCAGCAGGCTTCTCATCTCCACTTCAGCATATGGGCTCTGTTGGATCATTCTACCATTGAAATTTGCTCCACACCGTGTCCTTAATTACATTTTAGATCATCGCTCTGTTCCATTTAGTAATGAAGGGACAGCTGTACAGACTTCCCCACACAAGAAATTACTAATTTTATTGAAGGGGGCATAATTATGTTTTCTCTTTCGCATTTAAATGGAAGAGTAGGTGGAAAAAGCAAAGTAGCATTTCTTTTAAAGGTGCTGTGGAGTCCTTTTGACATGGTTCTTGTCACATAGCATAAACGTGTTTTGTCTGGGGCGTGCGAGTCTGACTGCTTTCGTGCATTTGTTAAAAGAAAGGAGGCAAAAACATTGAAATTGACAGTAGAGGCGTATTAGCTTGGCACTGGACTCGATGTTAGCTCTTGTTGCATGCTTGGCTTATGAGGAAAAATGAATCATCACTGGTCTGCTGTAATATATTTTTTGAAATCCAAGCCTCTCCTTTTTGCATTACAGCATAACACAGACCGCTAAACACAATTTCATTACAGTCCATTCAAGAGTTATAAGTTCAGCAGCCATTTATGTGTCCTCTTTATGGTCAATATATGTTGTGGCCTCCTAAGAAAACCCTAAATCATAGATAAAAACAAAAGATGTATTTAACCTCTTATCTCGGCCTTTAGACGTTGCAGGTTCTACTCAACCGCTCCTCAAATTCCCCACTAAATCATTACAAGTTGTTTTCACACCATGGCTCTCAGTGGACTTTGTTTGCACGACTTTTTTTGAGAAATGTTGTCCGGTCGTCTTGTTTTGGAGGGTATCCCTTGTTTATTTGGCTGAATGGCTAACATCGGCTTTTATCACTTCCTTTCATTTGTTTTCTCTTAATATAGACAATCTTTTGGCTGCTGTTCCAATCACGCCAAGGCCTGAACATGGAACATGGCTCTTGCAAAACAAGTTATGATAAAAGAATGATCTTTGAGGATATTAAGTAGGAAAATGTCATTTATAGGTAGTTTTTTTTTGGTATGTGTTCTAACAGTTGGAGACATGTCTCCATATTATAGGAGACATAGGCCTACAGTTATAATAAAACTTAGTTGGATCACAGTTGGTCTATTATGCTCACCATTGCTGCATTTATTTGATCAAAAATACAGTAAAAATAGTCATACCATGAATTATTATTACTGTTTTTATAATATATTTTAAAATGTTGTTTATTCCTGTGATGGCAAAGCTAATTTTTCAGCCATAACTCCAGTCTTCAGTGGCAAGATGCTGTTTTCTTGCACTTCAACTTTTTTTATTGTTAATGTTGTAAACAGTTGTGCTGCTAAATATTTTTGTAGAAACCATAATACTTTTTTCCCCAAGACTCTCAGATTAATAGAAAGTTCAAAAGAACAGCATTTATTTGAAATAGAAATCTTTTGGAACATTGTTTGCAACTATTTGCATCCTTGCTGAATAAAAGTATTTATTTATTT